AGCAATCTTAAGTAAAAAGAACAAACTGGGAGGTATCAGTTTACCTGACTTTAAGCTGTACTACCAGGCTGTAGTGATTAAAACAGGTTGGTACTGGCACAAAAATAGAGACATTGACCTCTGGAACAGGACTGAGAATGCAGAGATGAAACCATCTGGATATGGTAATCTAATCTTTGACAAAGCTGACAAAAACATACACTGGGGAAAAGAATCTCTTTTCAATAAATGGAGCTGGGAAAACTGGATAGCTACATGCAGAAGACTGAAACTAAATTTGTTTTTATCAGTTGGATGGTACCAAATTTCCAGAAAGAGAGCCAAAAGACTTTTATAATGAATGAAACAACACTTAACAAGTGGAATGGGTTTAGGCACTAGCTTAAGCTGGAGGGTGGGCAGAAGTAAATTCAAACGCTCTTTCATTTTTCTTCATTTGCTAATGTGAACAGATGTTTAAAGTAATGTTGTGAATGATTCCTGGTAACTGACACATCTCATCCTTAACATAGAATAAAACTGGACTTCCTTGTTGTGTAATCTCTTTGATAACTTTCATATTTTTGCTTTTTTAGTCATGAACTCCGTTGTACTTTCTTCTTCAGCCATGTTATCCTTGAGTAGCTTTGGAGATGATTCTGAGGTAGATCTGCTGACTGAGGACACAGAGGACTCAGTGGAGCAGCAGGACGTGGTAGACTCAATGGACACAGTGAACCTGGTGGAACAAGAAGACCCGATGGACATAGTGGACCTGGTAGACCAGCAGGATGCAGTAGGCCCAGAATACCAGGAGAACTTGATTGATCTGGTGCAGAAGAAGGCCTTCCCCTCCTCCAGCAAGGCTGCTGGCACCAGTGCTGAGGTACCTCTGGGAGTGTTGCCTCACATATTTGTCTGGACCACTAGACAAAGCCCCGATTTTCACTCTTTTGACCAGTTTCACTTTGAAGAAAACATACTCTTTATTTTTTAAAAAACTGAATCACTATTTCTGTTGTACTAGATTTTCAGATGCAGCTGAGAACCCAGTGCGCCCTTGTGAACAGGGAGGTTGGAGCCAAGGACACTTTGTACTTGAGAGAAAGCTGAGCCAAATAGGAAGCTTAGTTACTAAGAAAGGAAGTAATTTTAAGAGCCCTGTTCTCCATCACCTGTAAGGGGATGCTAACCATCTCAAGGGATGACAAGTGCCCTGACCATCCATACCAGCCCTCCCCCTGTACCACAAGCTAGATTTTTCCAACTGAATTTTTATTAGGTTAGAACATAGTGTTAAAGTGTTAGAAATATCCAACCTTGAAATGCTAGCACTGATGTATGGTCCAAAGCCAAATGAATCAAAACAGTTGGATTAACTACTGCATAGCTCCTCTACACCCAAATTTGTGTACAATGTCACAGATTTGCACAATCATCTTTTATATTAGACAGGATTATTAAAATCAGGATTGGCAGCCAAGATAATAAGATTATGGTCAGTTATGTGGAATTGTGTATGTTAATCACTGAGGCTAAGATGAGTCACTTCATCCCTAATGCCAAAGGCACTCCCATCCAATGATCCAATGAAGAGAACTGAGGGCTAGGAGACAATTGTTTGAGTTTGGCCCCAGCAATGTGTCTTTGGAAAGTTCCTGAGCTTCCATTTCTCCATCTTGAAATGGTCTTCTTGTTTTGCAGAGATTTGTGGACTGTTGTGGAAATTCTTTGAACTATTTAGAAGGAAACTTCTGTGAAAATCCATTTTGTCCTTATTTATGTCCTTATTATGCTAAAAAGTTGTGGTCCCCCTTTCACTGTTGACAGGTTTCTCTTCTCTTTTGAATTTATTTGTAATTAAACCTTAAGTATAGCTTTGTTTAAAATCACTGAAATAACCAGGAATGAATGTGTGTAATTTGGCTCTGCAAGTGATAGCGTATTAGGCTTATTCTGGATGCCATGTATTGACAACCTGGAGTGTATCCAGAAGATGGAGACCAGGATAGGGAAGGGGCTGGAAAACATCATAGAGTCAGTAGTTGAAGACCGAGGAGAAGGGAATAATGGGGAGGGAGGGCTAGGACAGCTTTATCCAAACAACTAAAGAGCCATTGTGCTCATGAAGTGGAAGATGTGCTTCCAGTGGCTCAAACCAGGGCTGACAGCTAGAAGCTGCAGGGAAGGTGGCTTTCAGATCCCTTCAAGGAAGTGATCTGACACTATTAGCCCTTCTCAGATGGATTTGGTCACCTCCTAAAATTGTGAGGCACCTCCCCTTCAATGGAAAGGTTAAAGCCAAGGCTCGGTAGCTCATTTTCCAGGGGCAGCAGAGAGAAGATTCCTGCCTGGAGAGGGCGGGTAGATGTGGTAACCTGTAAGGTTTGTCTCTTCCAGACCTGAATTTAGAGAGTTTTGTATGTGTGTGTTTTGGTCTAATGAATGCCTACTTTCTTATAGGAAGGGATATATATAATACATAGTGAAAGAAGGACAATTGAATGGTTTTCAATGGACTAAAAATACATACATTATTTTTATTCTAACCGAGAAAAAAACCAAATTGTTTAGTTTCCCTCCCTCCCTCCTTCTCTCTCTCTCCCTCCATCTCTATCTCTCTCCTTCCTCTCTCTCTTCTTCTCCCCTGCCCCCGACTCAGCTATGTACTTACATTAACCATAAAGGACCACAGTATGATATAATAGACTGTCTTATTTTTGATCTCTATATATGTACTTTTTCCTCATCATTGACGTTGGAAATTCTTTATGGATCAGGACCACGACTCTCTCATCTGGTATATACACACAGTGTTCAGCACAGTTCAGGGCAAACAGCAATTGTTTCCAAGCACTGCTTACAACTTTGACAGATGTTTTTTTTTCCAAGAATTCCATCTCTTTCTTGTTTTCATAAATAAATTAGTTGAGAAGTCCTATCTACTTTCTCTTTTCTTCTTCTTATTTTTTAAACCTTATTTTACTTTAAGATATTCTGGATGGTAATCTATTCTTTTCTTAGAATTTGATTTTTTATTGATATATCATAGTCGTACATATTTTGGGGGTACATGTGATATTTTATACATATATACAGTGTGTAATGATCAAATCAGGGTAATTGGGATATCTATCACCTCAAACACTTACTTTTTCATTTACAATTTGTCTCTTCTAGCTATTTTGAAGTATACAGTAAATTGTTGTTTACTGTGGTCTCCTTACTGTGCTATCAAATACTAGAACTTATTCCTTCTATTTAACTGTATGTTTGTATCCATTAACCAACTTCTCTTCACTCCCCCACCCTCCACCAGCCTCTGGTAACTATCATTTTACTCCCTACCTCCATGAGATCCACTTTTTAAGCTCCTAAGTATGAGTGAGAATATGTGATATTTGTCTTTCTGTGCCTGGCTTATTTCACTTCACATAATGTCCTCCAGTTCCATCCATGTTGCTGCAAATGACAGAATCTCTTTCTTTTTAAAGGCTGAATGGTATTCCATTGTGTATATATGTCACATTTTTTCTCTGTTTTTGGACACCTAGGTTGATTCCATATTTGGGCTATTGTGAATAGTGCTGCAATAAGCATGGGAGTGCAGATATCGTTACGATATACTGATTTCCTTTCTTTTTGATATATGCCCAATAGTGGAATTTCTGGATCATATGGTAGTTCCAGTTTTAGTATTTTTGAGGAACCTCTATACAGTTTTCCATATTGGCTGTGCTACTTTATATTCCCACCAGCAGTATAAGAACATTCCCCTTTCTCTGCATCCTCACCAGCATTTGTTTTCTTTTCTTTTCTTTCCTTTCCTTTCCTTTTATTTTTCCTTTCCTTTCCTTTTCCTTTTCCTTTTCCTTTTCCTTTTGTTTTTCAGACAGAGTCTCACTCTGTTGCCCTGAGTAGAGTGCTATGGCATCAGCCTAGCTCACAGCAACCTCCAACTCCTGGGTTCAAGCGATCCTCCCGCCTCAGCCTCCCGAATAGCTGGGACTACAGGCACATACCACCACGCCTGGCTAATTTTTCTATTTTTAGTAGAGACAGGGTCTTGCTCTTGCTCAGGTTGGTCTCAAACCTCCTGAGCTCAAGTGATCTTCCCACCTCGGCCTCCCAGAGTGCTAGGATTATAGGCATGAGCTACTGCGCCCGGCCTCTCATTTATTTTCTTAATTTCTCTCAAATTTCTCTCCCTTCCTTCCTATATCTTCTACCTCTGGTCTGTTTCAGGCCCCTGTTATCTCTACTTTGAATTGCCCCCATAGCCTTCTAATTTGCCTTTCCCTGACTCCAAGCTTCCTTTCACCTGTCAGTCCATCTTCTGCACTGCTGTCAGAAGGCATGTTCTACAAAACAGATCTGAGCATGTCACTTCCTGAATCAGATCTATAGAGTAGAATGCTCCTTCTGGCAGCAGTGCCAAAGGATCTGTGAATAAAATCCAAGTTCCTCAACTGCCTGAATCTGTATGCTCTGCAAAAAAAACCCTCTCTTTCTGCCTTCTTTTCCACATGTGACTTGCCTTATCCCTTCTATTTCAGCCAAGCTGAAGCATAGTTTTCTCCCTAACACACTCTCTAATTTTATAAACCTGTACATTTGCTCATTTCAAGATCTGAGGCTGTTCTCCAATTTAAAATTAGATTTCCAGGACCAAGAGGAGAGTATTCATCCAAGTACTATGATTGTATATGAGAACGGTAAGGGTTCCTACTTTCTAGGGCTCTGTGAAGATCAGATCTGTGAATTTCCATATAGTGCTTAGAAGAGTGCCTGGAACAAAGGAGGTACCAGCTGATGATTATCTCTATTACATTACTAACAGGAGCCCTATTGGTGGACTGTCATTTGTGATTTGACCCAGGGGAAGGGCACTTTGGCACTGCAGGTTGCTTCACGTCTCTGGGCCAATTCCACATCTTTCTTTTTGGAAAAAAAATGAAATGAAATGATCTCCGTGGGCCATTTTTTATCTAGAATTCCTGGATTCTTTAACCATTTCTTCAAACTTTCTAGTAATGAATGCAATCAGGATTGGACTGCCACTGTTTGCATTCTTAGGCTTTCAAAATCTTGAAGTAAAACAATATGGTAGTATTTGGAGAACCGTAAGCGATTCCTCCCCACAGCCATCACAACCATCATTGTCTATTGCATCCTGCATCGATAACTGTGATCTGGAACTGTTAGAGAAGTTCAGGGAGCAGCTAGAAGAGAGCACTCAGGTGCTGCAGGCTATTATCAAAAGCTAGCAGGATGCACTGCAAGTGATCAAGGAGCAGCTTCAAGCACTTCGGAATGCTAGAGTTCAGGTCAGACGAGTTCTACATAAGTGGTAGAAGGAGGAGGAGAGAGGGACCTTGGCAACCCTTAAGGAATTAGTCAATAGGGCCTACCAATAGTGACAGCTGCTGCCACAGGGTGGCATGGGACATCCAGAGTGGTCTCCAGCAGGCACCTTTAGTTTTACCCTTTTGCTCTTGGCTGCAGGAGCCATGATGGGCCTAGCCAGGCCTCGGCAATGGCAGATGTGGCTTATGTATAGCCAACGCTGCATGTAGGCCTGCCTGTGGGCAATTCTGCTCCATGCCCAGCGTGCCTTGTGCCCTAAGAAAAGGTGTGTACTATGAATAAGACCTTTGTGATACTGTGTCCTTACAGATGCAGCCAATTACAACATGCCACATTGTCAGTCCTGATCCCCAGTCTTCGGGGGCAGTGCTCAAGAAACAACTCACTGGGCAAGTGAAGCGGTCCCTCCCAGATCTCAAGGAGGCCAAACGGTTTTGTGATTCATATTCATTCCCGTCTTTGAAATTCATTGACAATTTTGAGGAGCCTTCTCTCGTCTCCATTCAGGTATGGAAAGCCTGTTTTAACTGTGTAGCTGAAAGAGGATTACATTTTCATGAGGATTTGGACTCACCTGGTTTTCCTTAAGGGGTAGTGGCTACTCAGTTGGCTGTAATTCATTTGCCTAAGATAGTAAAAAAATCCCGGGCTACCTAGACCTGAACACATATGCTAGACCATGTATACATACATGTGCATATGTGTTGGATTAGCAGACTCTCACATCTAGGAGCATGACGGCAACTAGTGTCCAGCCGAACAAGCAGACAGTCACACAAACCACTATGTGTAGGGCGGCTGGACTACTGTTGCCTTCTACCTTGAGAACCGAAGTGGGAGAATCAAATTTCTGGGAAGCTCCCATACACACTGAGGTATTTTTATCACTCATTTGTCTTTTCATGCAGCAGGAGCAGAAGAAGCTGCAGGAGCAGATGCTGCAGAAACAACAGAAGCAGGAAAAGCAGCAGCAGCATAATGTCATCGTGGGGAACCAGACCCTGCAGAAATGCCTCAAAAATCCAACTGGCATGTCTGTGCCACTCTACAATAATCCTGTTACATTTATGCAGACCAAGCCTATTGTTGCTCCTGTCCAAATAGTAGCTGAGCCACAGCCTTCTGACTCTTATCAAGAGGAAGACCTTGGGCGCCAGGAAAATGAGAGTCATAGGTAAGGAGTGCATAGCATGGTGTTAAGGGCTAAGATCACTGCTTTCCCCTCAAGGCTGGGTACCATGCCTAAGACCATGGATGACCTGTCCATGTGGCACCAGCAGTCTTCTCATCAACAGCAACTTGCTCTCAACTCATCTTTCTCTGTAGCCACTGGCCATCCTGCCTCTGCACATATGGTGCATGGCTAAGCACCCATTGATGGAACAGAGGAGTCCCCCTGAAGAAGGGACTAGATGAGGAAGCCTCAAAGTCAGGAAGTTAGCATGCAACCCTTGAAATCACTTGGCTTGATTCCCCAAGCCCAGTCCCTTGCACGGGGTATGTGTAGAGTAGTCTTGAGTGCCCACAGCTGAATAACTCCTGGACTTCTAGGTTCATTCCCTAACTTCCCTGGAATCTGGTGATCACAGTAGATCAGGTAAAGGGATCTCCATGGCATTTATGATCAACAGGAGGGAAGTGGGTGTGAAACAATTGCTAGATTGCCAAGATCAGCCAAGGAAACATAAGGGCTAAGTCCTGGGTGGAATTATGGGAACACAAACACATTTTTGCTCAATAATAAGGTCTTTGGTTCCAAACACCAGAAAGAGAAGGTTCTGTTCAGCAGTTAAAGGATTGCTTAGCATATAGTTGAGGCCCACTAGATAGTTGTGAATGAACGTTAGCTCTCTGAAACGTGCCTCCCAAAGCTTTCTGGATTTCCTTCTGGGCCTTACTTTAGAATCAGTGACCTGGACATGTGGGGTGGGCTAGAGTTGTGTTGTCCAGCTGGCCTGATCATCAGAATCCACCTGACAATGTTGCTGAAAGTACAGAGTCTGGGATGGGGCTCAAAAGTCTATATTGATCACAAGACCCCCAGGCTTAGAGTTCTGGAGAGAGCACTGGATTCGAAGTTAGGAAATAGGCCTTGCAGTCTCCACTCAGCCACCAGCTCCCTTAGTGATTTAGAGGTAGGAGAAATGACTTGCCCATGTCCACAGAGAGCACAGTTGTGGCAAGACCAGAACTGTCCAAGTAATAGAAATAAAAACAGTTGAGACAAATGACTATAATTTCTCCCAGTGTCTATATTTGATTTACTTTGGCAAGTTGAGTCTTATTCAGGCCAAAGTGAGGAGACATATAAGTGAATCCTGGTGTAGCCACCAAAATCAAATATGCCTGAAGCATCTACTGATGACCAAGGGAGTGTCTCGTGGGCCATTATTTCCAGGTCCATGATACTGCAGCAGGTTTCTTCTCTTACAGTTTTCTTCCTGAGGCACATCAGGGCCCTCCCATGGATCAACCACCATTGGGGTATAGCTCAAGCACTCAGCCAATTTCTTCCACCAGCTTTCCTCAGTCTCCTATAAATCCAGAAGTGAAATTGCCCGTACTGGAGACCCCAGAGGATTACATCCAACTTTGGCAACAGTCGCCTGATCCACAAGGTCACCTTTTGCTTCAAGTGAATATTTGGCTTTCCAATGAGCAGGCCCTGATGCAGGGTCAAGACCTCTGGAACCAGGTACACTATATGCTGGGTCAAGAGGGGTTCTGAACCCCTTCCTTAAGAGGCAGCCACCCCAGGAGTGTGCTCTGTGTGTGAAATACAGACTTCAAAGCTCAATAAATTTGAGGGCAATTATTCACATGATGGTAGCACTCACTGCTGAGTAAAAATATGCTCCACAGCATTACTTGAAAAAGTGAGCTGGCCTGGATCTTAAATGTAATCTGACTGAAACTTCTCTCAAAAATATATTACCTGGACAAAGTGAGCCATGCCATATTTTTAATGCTGAGCTCATCTGAGCCCAAGCCCCTTTCCAGACTTGTGGATTTTGATATTATTAATATTAATAGTTCTACAAAATCTAGGGCCCAGTGTGGGTTTGTTTCCTTGTACTAAAAATAAACCTGGGGTCCCTCTGTTGAGTGCACTTAGTATTCATCTATGGGGTGCCCCGTATTTGGCAGGGCAGACCCACCTTGAGGACCATCTGCAGTGGCCATGTTTCCGGGATGGAAGCTGGTCCAGATGGCAGTTACACAGTGGGTTTTGCTCCAAAGTAAGCTCCCAGCAGGCCCCATTGGGACCACGTACTTTCAATCTGACTGATGAATAGTACTTACAAAAGGTGTTTTCACTATGGCTTTAGAAACCTTAATATAGCCTAACCTTTGTTTTTCTTTAAACAACCAAACCAAACCAAACCAAACCAAACCAAAACAACAATAAAAAAGCAGTAAGCTAAGGCAGAATGGAGGAGTTTAAATATTTTAAATGGGTAAAGGTATGATTATTTTTCACATTTACACCTTCACCAACTGGGCCACTGACGTTGCCAGAAAGTTGGTTCGTTAGAGGGATTGCCTACAAAGAGATCGGAATGGTCAATGAGTCCTGTAGTTTTGTTACCCAGCCAGACTCTGGTAAAACCTTTCCTCATGCGTGTTTTCGAGGCACTTACCCTCTTGGGTGGGGCCCTGAGAGGCAGAGCCAGCAGAGAGCTACGCAGGTGGTGCAGGGAAGTAGAGAAGGTAGGATTCCGCAAGGTTGCTCAGCCTGGGGAAAGCAGTGGAGCAGCCTAGGGCAGGGCCATGTGGAGCTTCCCTGGCCACAAAGCTTCAGGGGCTCCCCCTGTCCTCAGGTGAAGCCCCAGTTCCTCCTCCTCTGAGCTTCTGTGCCCTTGCCACCCTGCCCTGGCTCAACTCCCACTGCCTTCTGGGCCCTGCCTCCCTGTAGGTCCCCGGACACCTCTAGCTTTCTGCCTAGTGCCCAGCCCTGCTCCTTCTGACCCCTCTGTCTTCTCCACGCCCTTGAGTACCACTTGTTGGAATCTTGCATCCCCTCACTACATAGCCGAAGGGATCCCTCCTTCTCAACCAGAAAAGGCTCCTCAGCCCACCCTTTGTAACACCATCGTGTCCATCCTCCTCCCCTCCTCCACACTCCAGTGTGGGTTGGTACATCTCCTACACTTTGCTAAAGTGGGCCGAGTAGCTGCAAATCTGGGGCAGCATGGACATGGCTGAGTCCAAGGCCTAAGGTTAGGGGCTTTGGCTGGCTGTGGCTGGCAGAGAAGCTGCTGAGAATGGAGGGCCAGACACAGACCCAGGAGCTTTAAGGTAATTTGGGAAAGCTGGGTCTGCTTCTGCTGCTCTTTAAGTCACGATGCTGCTAGGAGATGGAAGAGGAGAGGAATCTCATCTTCCTCAGCCTCTCGATCACTAGCACTTTGCAGGCTCATGTTCCAAAGAGGCATTTCTCAGCAGCTGGCTGACTTGAACTAAAGGGATCCTCCCACTACCACGAATGGGTCCAGGACCTCTATCAAAGGACTGTACCTTGTTCTCTTTTTTCCCAGCAGGTACAGGCTCCTGAGGCAGGAGCCCAGGACCCCCCAGGTCCAGAAGCTTTTCAGGGCCCAGTGGAATGCCAGCCACAACAAATGAGATACTTCGTGCCTGCAGAGCAGCCCTATGTGGATGAGCAGCAGCAGCAGCAGCATTAGTTTTGTGACCAGCCATGAGAGGAAGTGGGGAGGGGTCAGGCCAATGAAGTCTGCATGGCCACGTTGCAGAGTCCCTTGTAGTAGGGGTTGGGGGCGGGGGTGGAGACTTACTTTTCTTTCCTGATATGTTTATAACTGTTTGTTGAGCAATAGCCTGTTCCTTGGCAGTCATACTGCAGAGGTAGCCTGTGATCCCTAGTGTGCTAATGTACGACACAGCTGTCCCCTGCCTGCCCTGCCCAGCTTCTCATATCCATGTTCCACCATGGGCAAATAGGCTTCAGAGAATCTACTCAAGTTTTTCTGCCAAAAAAACCCAGAGTTGTTTGCAATCTAGTAAGAGGCTGTTCTGTCTTAGCCACAAGAATTCCGAGGCCTTGGCCTTAATGATCAAGCCCTGCCTCTCTCCTCCGCAGTCTTGTCGGAGAAGCCCAGGGTGGGTGGGACTCCAACAGTGGAAACCTGAAAACAGGTCAACAAATGCACTTAGGAGCTAAAATAATTATGGCTTCATTGCTTAATAAACATTTTCTTTCACTGCAACTCTCTGTGAATTTATGAATGGCTTTTGGAACCTGGCTATGCCAAGGTCCTGAGTGAAGGGCTCATTTCCTACAGTTGGGCCCCTTGTACAGGACCTGCTCTTCTCGGCCTCTTGTTTACACCTCAGCTCCATGCCACACTTGCAGTGGCTGGTGGCTGCTGCCATCCTGTGTGACTGTGTGCCCAGGCCTTCTGTGTGATTGAGGTGTGCCGGCTCCTTCATTGACATCGAGGGCAGCCACAGGCCCACTGGGCCCTGAAACAGTTAGCCTAAGGGCTGCCTGCTCAGGGTGGACAGTGTTAGTGTCTCACATATTACCTGAGGTGAGCCTGGATACTAAAGGACAGGATTCCCCTTCCCTTTGCATGCGGGTTCTTCCTCTCCCATCCATAGCCTTTTACATTGATAGGTATAATTCCTGGAGGCAAAGTGATTTTGCTCACTGGTCAAGCACCAGGGAGAGTACCTTCCCAGCAGTCTGTAGGGTGCAAGGGGGAAGCTTGGATAGCCATACCAGAGGCCACTGTGTGCCTTTCTTAAGGTAATGAACCATTGCTGGAAGAAAGCAAAGGAAGTCCCAGTCTTCAGTGGCAGGTTAAAATAAAGGGGCATGTTGGGCCTCACACCTGCAGGAGGAGGCTGACATTCCTGAGGCAGCGTGATCTCTACCGAGTTGTCATAAAGTGAACGTTTGTGTCCCCTCAAAATTCTTATGTTGAAGCTCTAACCTCCAGTATGATAGTGTTTGGAAATGGGGGGGTGAGTAGGGTTAGGTGAGGTCAGGAGGGCGGGCCCCTCATGATGGGATTAGTGCCCTTACAAGACGAAACACCACAGAGCTTGTTGTCCCCTCAACCTCCATATGTGCTCACACAAACGCACACACATGACACAATACACACACAGAAGAGGTCATGTGAGTGAGATGGTAGCCACCTACAAGCCAAGGGAAAAGGCCTTAGGATAAAATGTACTTTGCCAGTGATCTTGGACTTTTCAGCCTTTAGAACTGTGAGAACTATATTTTTGTTATTGAAGCCACTCAGGTATATGGTATTTTGTTATGGAGGCCTTGAGCTGATTAAGACACATGGGCTATTTGTTTTCAGGAGTGTCCTTTCACAGCTAGTGGGAAGGGACAGCTGAAGGCCCTGTCAGTTGTTGGAGTCAATCACTGACACTTAGTGGTACATCTATTGTGGTCAACAGATGCAGAATATTCCCAAAAGCCAGTTACCTTGTACCATCCAGCAGAGATAGGAACAGAGTTCAGGGGCACTCTTGATACCCTCTTTGACTTTGGATAGGCAAAGTTAGATGTGACTGGCATTCCTTGGTGTCGGCAGGAACTCTCTTGCTTCCTGTGCTATCAGCTACCTGTCTTCAGAGGCCAAACTCCAGCTCGGAGGCAGAATCAGCCACATCCTGCCAGAGAGTCAGGGTGGCACAAGTGCAAAACCAAGCCAGACCTATTGAAGCAGCCAGGAAAGAGTGCAAGGGAGTGAGAAGGCTCTGCCACTGGCATGCAAAGTGGCCTCGTAGACCCAGGGCAGGGGCAGGGAGGGTGGTAGTGGCATGCGGGCCTCTTCCAGCTACGCAGCCAGCCTGGTAGCATGCTAACCACAGGGGAGGCTCAATTCTGCCTTGGGAAAGTCAATTAATGTTCTCTTGGCTTCAGTTTCTCCATCTGAATAAAAAGGGGTGCAGAGGAAATAGTGCCTTTCCCACTCAGCTCTTAGAGCAGGTGCGAATACAAGAATGCAGCGGCAGTGCTGAAAGAGCCTTGGGGAGAGGCTCTGTGAAAGCCGACTAGGCTGGAGGTGTATGGCTGGGGTTACAGTTTTACTTAAGTGTTTAGAGTGTGCTTGGGCTAGGATTTGTCCCATCCGGGCCCCTTTATACCGGGTTTACCACCTGCAAGGATCCTGAACGGGGGGAGTCTGTGGTCATGCTCCAGTCGACTGCTTAGCTCCTGGCTAAGGTTGTCAGAGGGTCTGGGGTGCTGCCCAGGCCTGCTTTTGCCCAGGGATTCCCCAAGGATGATCCCTCTTAGGAGGGGGCAAGTGGGGAGTTCCAGACGCCCAAAACCCCAAGCCAGTGCTCCTGTGCAGGATGGTCCAGCTGATTTGTGAATTGCCACAGTCAAACTGTGATGAGTTCTCTGGCCTCTTATGCAGTTCTGGGATCCCTGTTTCGAGGTGTCTGTGGTGCTGCTGGGAGGCCGTGCCCAGCTTGCTCCTGGCCTGCACACTTAAGACCTGGCTGCCTCGGCAGATTAGCGGTTCTGCTTGGAGTCAGTTGGTGCTTATCTTTCTGCTCATTGTCCAAGGCACAAACCCGAATTCCTCCAGCCATCCTTCTGGAGCTGGCCAGGCAAAAGGATGACAGTGTCGGGACTGAGCAAGGGGGCCTGTACCAGCCTTGCCCAGGGCAGGAGAGAAATCTGAGCATGACTTGGGTCAAGAATACCTGCCACGGGCCAAGCTTCCAGGGCCACAGCTCAGACTGGGAGGAGCGATGGCTGTGCCCGTGGTCTGTGTTAAACTGCTGTCTGGGAAGCTCAGCAGAACTCTGCAGTTCATACCACAAAGTTTAGCCAGGGAAATGGTCAAATGGAAGCTGCACTGGAACGACTCAGGACAGTTATTTTCTGTCCAGCAGCCTCCCTTCCAGCCTCACATGCTGCCTGCACACAGTGCACACCTCGAGCAAGCCTGTCCCGTCTTCACTCTCAGGCTCCTCTTGGGGGTGAGAGAGAGAGCAGAGGGAGAGGAGCTGTTCCCCCAGCAGCCCGAGGCCAGGCCGGCCACAGGGAAGAGGCTGGGGAGAGAATCAGAGGTGAAGCAGTTCTTGCTCCCAGGACCCCCACCCCAGCACCCCCAGCCTCTGCTGTCTGGCTCTCCCTGGTGGCATCTTCCTTCCTGGGAGGCCTCAGGGTGCCAGTGCCGTTCTGCCTCATGTCCTAAGCACAGTGGTCCATATACTACTATGTGGCTGGGCACCTGGCTTGGGACACAAGGGCTACCTGTTCCTGGAGTTTCTTGGCCTTGCTGTGAGCCTCTGCTAGGATGACTGTGGCCTCCTGCCTTGCCCCCGCTGCCTGGCCCACATCAGCTTCCCCCTCAGGGGGTAGGTAGAGGTACAGAGGAACCAGAGCACCTTGATCTTGTTGGCACAGGGTTCCTGCAGCAGGAGCGGGCCCAGCCACAGTAGATCCAGTAGCCCCCTCCCTGCCTTCTCCTCCCTTCCACAGGAATCTCTGTCAGCACCTCCAGATCTGATGCCATGCTGGGGAGGGAAGCCCCAAACAGCTACCAGCAGCCCCAGGATTCAAAGTAGGCAGCGCCGGTCGTCTCGCACCCACATGACTTAATGATGGTTGGGTTTGAATTTGTTTATACGTCCAGCATGAAGCCAACTTGGCTTCACTCATCTGGAAAAATGCAAGAGTTGCATTTCCATGTGGGCTGGTGGGGTGGGGGGATGTTGGAAGAACACGACTGAGGTGCCCCAGCCACACACATGGCAGAGCTTCCAGATACAGCCACTGCAACCTCCACATCAGCTCATTCCCAGGTGGGCAGCACAGCACTCCTTACTGAGTGAGACTCAATCTGTACATAACGGAACATTCCATGCACAGACTTACAGTTGAATATTCATGTGTTTTCTAAACACATCAAAAATTTATAAGTGTTCCTATTCCCAAGTGCATTTTATAATAAGGAAGAGTGTTATTAAAACTACCAGCCCCTGTCCGTGTTCTTTCAGCACACAGCACAGCACTGGCTGATGCCCACTGCAGTGTCTTGAGTGTTTTCTGTTTTTAAACTTTTTTATTTCAAAATATTAAGGGAGTACAAATGTTTTTGTTACATGGATACCTTTTATAATGCTTAAGTCAAGGCTTTGAGTGTGCCCATCACCAGAATAGTGTTCACTCTACCTGATAAGTAGGTATATTTTGAAGACAGTGAAAGAGAAGGTAGCCTTGGAACATTCTGGGGTGTGAGTGCTGTTGGTCTCTGTGAAAATCCCTGGGAAGAAAAGGTTGAGGAGAAGCTAGGGTCTGGGAACCGCAGCTTCAGGGCAAACTGCCTACCAGGGGGAGAGGAAGGAGCTGCTCCTCTAAGACCTGGGAACATGTCTCCAGCCTCAGAGCAGACCACAGCAAACTCTACCCTACCTTTCAAAATTATCTATACCAAACTCAATGAAAACTCTCTGGTTTTATAGCTAGGACCCAATTAAACGTTCCCTAGGGGTTATTAAATAATGAGGGGTTTTGTTTTTGCTTGTTTGAGTAGGTAAGCAAGACACTATTGAGTGGCTCTCCATTGCTTATCAAATAAAATCCAAGTTCTCCACCTCGCCTTGTCTGGTCTAGCCCTTCCTCTCTCCACCCTTCCTGCACTCTGCCCCTAGTCTCACTGAACCACTGGAGGCCATTTCTGCC